AGGATATGACATCGATTCGAAAGCATATCGACGTTTTGATACACAAAAGCGCAAAGTAGTTATAAAAAGCGATTTCAAGTGCGATGAATCCATTATGGTGGGTACAAATAATGACAACGATTTTTCACCCATGGAGATAGCAAGTTTTTCAATTAATTCAAACGATTCAAATTCAAACGTACCTGAAATGAGAGTGTAGTCCGATTATGAAGATGCCGTAGAGACAGTAGATCAGAGTGCTGAAAAAAGTAGTTCAACTGATGAAGAGATAAGCAGCGGTACTGAATGTCAACATATTCGACGTGGTAGGCCACGAGTAATAAAAACTGGTTTACCTGGCAGACCAAGAAAACAACAAAATGCAGTAAATTTGGCATGCGATCTAAACGTCAAAGTGCCAGTATCAGTTAAAGAAGCTATGTGCAGCAGGCAAGCGCGTGAATGGTGGATCGCTATGCAGGAGGAGTACAACGCATTAGTACACAACGAGACATGGGAGCAAGCAAAGCTACCGAATGGCCAAAAGGCAATCGGATGTAAGTGGGTGTTTGAGTGAAGACGAATGCTAATGGTGAAATCGAGCGGTACAAGGCAAGATTAGTGGCAAAGGGTTGCAGCCAAACGTACGGGGTTGACTTCAGCGAAATTTTCTCACTTGTTGTGAGATATGCTACAATAAGGATGATGTTGGCTACAGCGGCAGAATACGAGTTGTACGTTCATAAGCTCGACGTATCAACGGCGTACCTCAACGGCAAGCTCGAAGATGACATCTACATGAGCCAACCTGAGATATTTGAGCAAGACAACGGCTGTGTGTTACAGCTAAAAAAATCATTGTATGGCCTTAAGCAGTCAGGCAGAGTTTGGAACTCAAGACTTGATGAGGTACTGAAAGACATTGGTTTTTCTCCGACCCACACTCTGAACATCTGGCGGCAGCGAAACACATCTTGAGGTACCTTAAAGCGACAGTTAATTTGAAAATTCGATACAGAAAAACTGGCGAGTGGATGATGGGATATGTCGATGCAGATTGGGGCGGTGACGCTACTGACCGAAAATCATATACAGGATATGCATTCTTTTTTGGTGGCAGTGGCATTAAGCAGCACGGAAGCCGAATATATGGCGCTTTCGGCAGCAGCAAAAGAAGCGGTTTATTTACGAAAATTGTGGGCAGAGATGAAAATGTTTGATAAGGGTGCCTCGATAATGATCAACCGTGATAATACGAGTGCGATGAGCTTAGTAAAAAATCCCGTTTATCATGCTCGAAGCAAGCACATAGACATTAAATTCCATCATATACGAGAGGTTTACAATAGCAAAGAAATTGAACTAAATTATTATCCAAGCAATGCTATGGTAGCTGATGTATTGACCAAAAATTTGAAAAGAATAAGTCATTGTAAATTCACTGGGGAACTTGGCTTAAAAGACTAGAGTTAAAAAAAAAAAAATCCTTGCAGTGCATAAATATATAAATGTTGAGGAGGAGTGTTAAATGTACACAAGAAAGTGTGGCAACACTTATATATTTTTCATTTTTCGAACTTAATACTTGTTTACTAATGTATGTAAATATGGTAACACTATTTCTACTTTGAATTCATTCGCTAATAAACTGTCAAGATATCAACATCGATTGGTCGGCTTCTCATTCTTTTGGATATCGTTTAACAGAATAAAATAATTTTCTAAAACTTAAAAGATGTGGAAATATAATATATGCATATGAATATACATTCTTACTTTTAAGAACAAAATCTAAAAATTAAAAGAAAGTTAAAGGAAAAGAAGAAGAAAAGTTCAACTAAGAAATAAGAAAACAAGTAAGAAAGTCTAAGTTCGGGCGGAGCCGAACATTAAATACCCGGCGCAAGTATTAAATATATGATTTTCACTTTTCCGAAAGTTACCGCTACATGGTAAGCCTAGGTGTATCAATTTTGAGTAAATTAGCGTCCTTAAATTTCGAAATATTGAAGTTTTAAGCATTTTTGAAATTTACCCTTATATTAAAAGCGGCCTAAATTTTAGTCCGATTTCAATAATTTTCAACGTTTTGCTTTTATTTGGCAAGCAAAATAACCATACCGAGTTTGGTACAAATTGGTAGGACGGTTACCGAGATACATATATGTGATCATAAGTGGGCGGTGCCATGCCCATTTTCCAAAATTTTCCCATAAACGTATTTCTCGGTAAAGAATTGTTGCAAGCATCAATTTTGAATAAATTAGCTTCAATATTTAATGATTTATCGAAGATTTTGTATTTCTCTAAATTACCGTTATATGGGATGTGGGCGTGGTTATTGTCCGATTTTAAAAATTTTTGGCCATTTGGTATGCTGTACCAAAGCTAACAACCGCACCAAGTTTAGAAGAAATTGGTTCAGAGGTTACCAAGTTATATACATGTAACCATAAATGGGCGTGGCTACGCCCATTTTCCAAAAATTTATAATATTCTTATTTTCCGTTTAAAAATTGTTGTAAATATCAATTTCGAGTGAATAATCTTCAGTAGTTACTAAAATATCGCAGTTTTCGTATTTCTGAAAATTACCGTTGTATGAGACTAGGCGTGGTTATTGTCCGATTTTCCCCATTTTCAATACCATCTGTCCTACGTCCGAGTAAGTGCACGTACAAAGTTTCGTTAAGATATCTCAATTTTTACTCGAGCTATCGTGTGCACAGACGTACGGACAGACAGTCACCGCTTAATCGATTTCTCTTTTCATTCTGATCATTTATGTATACATTTGACTATATCTATCTCGATTCGTTTTGCCTGTTACAAGCAACCGTTATGTGAACAAAGTTATAATACCCACACAAGTACGCTCGGGTATAAAAATGCAGCATACCCTAGAGGGTATTTAGTGCTAGTGAAATGCCTAGAGCAGGCTTTCCCAAAGTGGGTGCCGCTAGTGGCTAGAGTATACTAGTGGTGAGGGCAAATTCTTTAAACTTTCCATACACAACGCAACGGTTTGATCAAACTTCAACATGGCGGCCAGAAAATCAAAATTTTTTGATTTTTATTAAAATTACCTTCAGCAGCTCATTTCGCTCTTAAGCATAGTCCCCCAGTACGTTTTGTCAATGAAAAATTGAATCAGAAAATTTTCAAAAAAATTGCTGAAAACGTACACTTTTCACAACCATGGGCTGGGCTGTTCGAGTGACAAGCGCACCAGCTTCGCGCACGTGTATATGTTACTAATTCTTTGGAACTTCACAATCACACTGTGAAAGAGCCAATTAACACGATTTTAGAGGCAGTTGAGAACGAACTTATAAAAAGTTTGAAAACTTGTGAATTTTTTTTTTTGCGACTTGCCGAAAGTACCGACGTACTGGGACTTAATGTTCTTCTCGTGTTAGTGCGGTACCCTTCGGAATGCAAATCGAAGAAGTACTTTTGATGAGCGAAGTACTTGAGACTTACACCACTAGCGACAAAATTTTTAAAGCTATCGACAAATTTGTACATGAAAATTGTTTGAAATGGAGCAAGTGTGCGGATATTTGCAGTGGTTGGAAAAAAGAAAGGAGCGATGTCTAGGATGAAGCGAGGGGCAGAAAACGCCACGAGAAGTCACTGCATGATTCGGTCGGTATTCCGTGGCGACTAGGAAGATGCCGCCACTAGATTTAAAGCCCGTATTGGATGACGCTGCGAAGATAACAGAGGCCTGCGAAATTAAAATACATCTTTGGCTTTTTTCTAGCACGTCGTGATTTTTTTTATTGGTGACATGTATATTTTAGAACTTCTAGAACTTTGCATGAAAATCCCATAAATAAGCAAGGTAAATCGTACATTGTAACTTCAAAGTTAACGCTAAGTAAATTAATAACAGGTGGTTTCACCAGCAATTTAAATGGAAAATGATTTTTTATTTTCTGTCAATTTCCTTATAAAATTCAAAAAATTAAAATCATTTTTCACTTAAATTGCTTTCGTGAAATTGCGTGTAAAAATAGGGTTTTTAGCGTAAACGCGCAGGGAAGGTTTAGAAAAAAGCATTGTCGAATATTTTCCCAACATTGACTCTGAGGATGTCTACAGCTGGATAACAAACCCGTTTTCATGTGACCCGAAAAGTTAACCTACTGGGATGACAAATTAAGCTTTTGAAAACCTTCTGGATATCAGTGTTGACAGCACTTTGAATATTAAATGCTACGAAGGGAGCCAAGAGAGTTCTGGATGCAGGTGTATGCAGAAAACACTGCTGTCGGCAAGATTGCATTAAAAATACTAGTGACACTTTACATTTCTATGTAAGACTGCAGCAGAAAACACTGCTGTCGGCAAGATTGCATTAAAAATGCTAGTGACACTTTACATTTCTACGTAGGACTGCATTTTCAACAAATGCTTACATAAACAAATACATACATAGTTTTTAAGCAAAAAACAAAACCGACTTCAATTCTCATATACAAATTTAAGATTATCGGTTATATCTTCATGATCCAATGATCGGATTTAAACCAAATTATAATGGAACCGCCTGTGTGGTAACACCTTTTCTCTAAAAAAAGAATTATAGTAATCGGTTAACGTGGTCCAAAGTTATGCGGTAACATACATAAGAAAATATTCCGACGAATTGATAACCTTCTCCTTTTTGTGAAGTCAACGTCAAATGATTTCAGGGTAAAAAGCTCTCAATAATCTTAAAGAAATAATGAAATCATCAAAACAATTTCAGTCCTCACACTAAAGCTAAAGGAGCATACAGTTTGCATTGTGTTGTTTTGTTTTGGTAGACATTTGAAGAGTAGGGGTGCCGCGAAATTTTTTTAGCACAACAAGAGTACCGCGGTGAACAAAGTTTGGGAACCCCTGGCCTAGAGCACTCAAAATTTAGTGCTCTACCCCAACTATGGTACATATGTATGTTCATTTGTAGATATGTATACAAAATCATAAAAAATAACACCCCGAATAACTCTCATCGTTCTTCTTATTGCCAGGCTAAGCATTGCGCACAGCATCAGCAGAGTTCGCACACAGGTGGGGGAGGACAGTACATTGATTCGTCAGCGACATTAGATGGCGACGCATTGTCCTCACTACCACAGGCCTCATTCAACTACATAAATTCTATTGTCGGTAGTGGTGTTATTGGCATTCCATATGCACTACATCGTGCTGGTTTTGGATTGGGATTACTCTTGTTGGTGTTGGTTGCATTTATCACGGATTACTCACTAATTTTAATGGTAAGTTAAGTTTGAATTCGTTTCAAGATAGGCTGACTTCCCAAACGTATCAATACAATGTTTGGATACTGTTCTACAGCGGTATTTAAACTGTTTGCATATGCAGAGTTGCGAAACATGGCAAACATATACATTGCATATTTTGAATATTTAATAAAGCAATGATCACCATTTCGGCATTTTCCATTTTTAAAACACCAATGGTAACCAAAAAGCAAACGAAGCATCAACTTTGTTTCTGATGCGCTGATCAAGTATACATTGTCAAGCAATTGTAGTTCGGCGTCTTGGAACATTAAACTTTGTACGGATGCAATGCAATTGACGTTTTGGAAGTCAGCCATACTTATTATATCCATACAATAATGAGCGGTTAAAAGCATGACGCTGCATTCGAATGTATATATGTATGTACATATGCAGCTACAAAAAAAGTTCATCTTACCCAGTAAACTTAATACAACAAAAAATAAACATCTACTCATAAATTTATTGAGCTCGTTAATCTTGAAAACTACGTAACTGATCTGGACAAGATTTTTTTAAATATAATCTGTATTTATAGGAGTAAAGCATTCGTATTTAGAATTGATATTTTTTTATGTACCTCTTAAAATATTTTGGTATTCATTTTCTCACGTTCAGCAGAAAGCGCAATGGGAATGCAGATGCTTTGCTGTAGCGGTAAGATTCGGGTACAGAAAATTAGTTTAAAATCCATTTTTATTTTTATCTTTTCTTAAGTGTCCATAATGTCTTCATTTATTAAATTTGAGTAATTAGGGTCTTATTGTATTTATAAGAAAGAAATCGGAAGTAAACTCGTTTCTTCATCCTGATGTTTGTAACGAAAGTATTTTTTTTTTAGAAATTTGTTATAAATTATGAAAAGTGGTCGATAAATCAATTATTTAATAGATCCTAAATTATTAAGCCTTTTGGAAAATATGTGTGGCGTAGATGATAGAGAATTTAATTGGCTTCGCTAGTATAACAAGAAATTTAAGATTGGCCAACTATATCCAAAGAAAATTTTAATTAAGCGTGCGCATTTTTTTTACATCTTAAAAGACCGAAAAACTGTTCTACTTTCTTATATTCCGATTTCCTATTCGGATTCATTTGCAACCGAGCTACAAAGGAACACTCAGTTAAATGACGAAATACACGCAAAGCAACAACACAAACTAAGCTATTTATCCGAGTTCAGCCAGCAAGGTATTACGTAAATACCCCGCATAATTAGCCATTTAAATTGGTTTTTGTATCGAAATCTGCCACCAACAGAGTTGCTTAAGGAGCTATTTATGAAAATGGTGAATAGAAAGAAATGGATGATTTCGTTGATGGTAGGGGAGACGGAGAGTAGGACGGATCTTGCGTTGAAGCTACCTCCTCGCGGTGAGTTGTGGACAAATTCAGAAAGAAAGTAGCTGAGAGAAGCAAAATATTGACTTCCGTAAAATGATATTAATATACTTGCTTCGGCCAATCTTTCCCACTACAATTGTTGCTTAGGCTGAGTCAAAAAAGAACGAGACGCATACTATGGCTTTGTTTCTTTTCTTTTCTAGCAGATAATTATCAGGAAGAAGAAGAATGAGAAAATTGAAAGAATTACGCTCACAGAGAGCGAAATAACGAAAAAGTAAAGAAACGCAAAACTAGCTAGTAATCAGCTGGTCGGTGTATTTGACAATTGAAAATATTTGGGGCGAATTTTTGTTTATCCATTTTGACAGCTGCTAGTTTCTGCTAGTAAAAATTTAACTAGCAGAAATTAGCAGTAAAGCCAAAAATAGCAGAGCGTAAGAACGAGCAGCTAGTTTCTGCTATTTTTTTTTTTGGGTTAAGAAACGCTTTCCAGCAGAAATTAGTGATACTTTGTGATAATTATCTGTTAAGAAACAAAGCTTATGTTTATACTTCACTTCGGTCAATTTTTAACAAGTGTTGAAAAATTAGTTCACTCTTTTGAGTTGCCAGTGTGTGCTGTTTTAACCATTTGTTTTTTGGTTGCATAAAATAAAACGATTGAATCGGACTAAGAATTTTTCATTTTATAATATCGAAAAGTAATTTAAAGTATCATACTGATCGTTTTGACTCCCAATTACACACATTCATTTAAATCATGAGTTAACTCCACACTAAAATTATTATTTCTACTGATCAGTGTGACCGTTTTGATCCACTTGGATCAAAAGTGATACATTTTTCGATAATTTTGGAGAGATACTTTTTTTCAATTTTGATATTTTCCAAAAACAAAACATGTTGTGCACCTGTGGCAACGTACATCCCAAACTCCATTGTCGTTCACTGAACAAACCTTTCATGTATTGTGATTCATGGTCCATGACGAAAAACGTCAAAGAGGGAATAAACGAATAGTATCAGAGCGTTGCATTTTTTATTTTCGCTATGTTCAATAACAAAAATTAGGGCTTGGTAACTCGGTGCTCCGTAAGGCCCTGTTTCCACAGGAAAACCCCAACGTCGTGATAACCATGTCACAAAATATATTTCCAATGCATACCGCCTATTTCTCATGGGCTGCAATATATGTCAGCACTTATTTCTTGACATCTATTGCAGGCACTTTGATAGTTTGACATCCATATTTTCACTTAGAAGAAAGCGTGCTGGTGGAAACATCGATGAAATATTAATATTAAATCCAAATAAGAATCTGTTCCCTATTGGATTATTTATGATAACGTTTTAGAAAGTCATTCAGCAAGCTTTTTAAGATTTAAATATTTTTAAACATCGAATGCGGAGTTTTGCGGTACATTTTCCCGATTTTTTTTATTTGTGTAAAATTATTTTAGCATCGGTTTACCGGTTACCGAATTATCGTGGTGGAAGATTGATAACTTTTCTGGTAGTCTGCCATCAGCTGTACGATATTCATCCAATTTTGAATCCGCCCGCTGCCGAAAGGCATGACGCATTTGAATAAATAAAACTCCTTAAATTTTTTGTTACAATTTATTTTTTGTAGAGGAAAAAACTACGAATCAGCTGTTGATAAGCATATTTTACCAGACTAAAGGTGTGGTTAAACGTGGCAATGCTAGCTCTTTTTCTACGCATTTTGCTGTCAAAATGCAAAATCGAAAGTCTACTTTCCCGTGTAAACAGTCAGAAAATCCTTTTTGCAGATTTGCGGAAATCACTTTCGGGAAATAGTTTCAACTTGCTTGTGCAATAAATGTTAAATTGTTTTGGAAAATGGTTTTTCATAAAAGTTATTGGTTTTATTCCATATGGATGCTTTGATACTTAAATGAAAAAAAGTGATACATATTGATACATTTTAACTCTCTTTTCTGCTAAAATTTTTTACAAGCCCGCGGTCACACTGCTACTGATGTAGAGAAAATGTGTATTGACCCCAGTAGAATTTAACCGAGTAGTTAAGAAGCATAAACGTATTAATAAAAGTCAAATCAAAAACGTTTTCTTTGATATTTTTGGTTCGTTTTTTACATATACATATGTACACTACTGGCCGGATAACACTATGCGACAAAACCAAACTTGTTGGCTCGGTTTTGAGTAAAACCGAACGCAAGTGATAGTTTTACAGCCGCACTCAGAAACGTTCCTGAAATTAGCTCTAACGGGCACTTAACTAAAGATCGATTATGAAATAAAAAATTTAAGTATGGGCCCAGTTGCGGCCCTTCATTTTTGGGGCATCACTCACTTTTTTCGTTCAGTTATAAAACATAAAACTAAGTATTTATATCATTTTGCGCGCACTTGCTCAATACACGCAATGCCTGAGTGAGCAGAGCACTGGCGTGCCATTCGAGAGATCCGAGCTCGAGTCCTAGGGCAGGAAAATTTTCCTTATTTATTTATTTATTTATTTTTTGGTTTAATTTTTATAAACTGTGTTTATTGAATTTTTTGCTTTTTTGATCTAATTTTCTTTTGATTTATAGATTTTATTGCTTTAAAAAGGAAAAAATTATTTTTTTATTTAAGTAAATTGTTTGTTAAAAGACAAACAATACCAATAACAGGCCATTTTTTGCATTTCAACTCACCTCAGTCTTTCGCGAGACAAAAGTCTTTATATTTCGGCAACTATCTTGAAAGCCATTTTCTGTATTTCGAATAACTAATTGAAAGATGTGCTAATTGTGTCATTATATTTATCGTTTAGAAACAAGTTTTCTAAAAACTAAACGAAATGAAAAAAATATTTTTTTTAAAACAGGAAAAACTAAAAATTTGAGAAACTGAAAGTGAAAGAGAAAAGATGAATCAACAAAATTTCTAAACCTTAAATGAAATAAAAAATATGAATTTTTTAAGCAGTAAAACTTAAAAAAAAATTGATTAAAAAGAAAGCTCGTTGCCGAGGATTGAACTCGGATCTCTTGAATGGCACGAAAGTGCTCTGCTCTATGGGCCATTCCCACTTTTACAGCAAGGTTATCGATATTAAAATTTATTGAACACCAACAAAAAATTTCAAAATCATTCGTTAAAAAGTTAAGTAAAGGTTTTTGTTTACTTGGGGAATTTTTTCAAATCGTTACTGAGGGACACCTTAAGTAATCATTAAACGCATCTGAGTGCGGCTGTTGGAGATCTTAGAGAATACTTATACATATATATAAGGGTTTTTTGATACAAGGAATTCAGTTACTTTATTATTAGCTTTGTGCTAGATGACGCTGTAGGCCAATTTAATTGAATTTCATTGTGTTTTTTTTTACATAAATTCTCAAATTGGAGGTTGTTATTAAGACGTACACTTGCGATGTGATTTCAAATACCGCAATTAATATTTTAAACGGGAATTTGCTTATTTATTGCATTTTGATTCATTCTTTAGTCTAGTTTTTCTTCAAACTTTCCTTCTTTTTAGCTTTTTATTTTATTTTCAAAATCAATGTCATCATTTTCATTTGAAAAACTTACAAAGTCATTGCTTGCATTTACGTCATAACCTGTAGCCATTATCACTAACAAATATC